CTGGAATGCAATATCGCAACTTTCATCCCAGCAGAAATGTCGCTTCTCCTCGGTTAGCTTGTGCAGAGGTTTGGCTATATCTGCAAAGTTCTTCACAAATCGCCGATAATAAGAGCACAAACCCAAAAATGCTCTAACCTGCGTCTTGTCTTTTGGAACTGGCCACTCCTTGACAGCGGCAATTTTCTCTGGATCCGTGCGGATACCTTCTTCCGACACTACATACCCCAAAAAACTAACTTGCCGTTTGAATAGTGAGCACTTCTTCGGACTCAACTTGAGGTTGGCACTCTGGATCTTTGTGAGCACACGTTCCAGGTTTTGAAGGTGTTCCTCAAACGTACGGCCTACGATGATGATGTCATCCAAATAGACCAGACAGGCATCTCCAATTAGCCCGGTAAGTACAAGCTCCATCAACCTTTCAAACGTTGCTGGAGCATTGCACAATCCAAACGGCATGACTTTAAATTGCCACAGACCCTTTCCTGTGGAGAATGCAGTTTTCTCCTTGTCCTTAGGGTCAATTTCAACCTGCCAGTAGCCACTTTTCAGATCCAGCGTACTAAACCACTTTACGCCTGTAAGCATGTCCAGCGTATCATCAATTCTTGGCAAGGGATAGCTGTCCTTCTTTGTAACGTCGTTCAGGCGGCGGTAGTCAACACAAAACCGCATGCTGCCGTCCTTCTTCTTTATCAGCACCACAGGTGAACACCATGGACTAGATGAAGGTTCAATAACACCATCCTTCACCATTCCCTCAATCATGGTTTCCACTTCCTTTTCATGTGCTACAGGCAATCTTCTTGGCCGCTGACGAATAGGCAATTCTTGTCCTGTGTTTATTTTGTGTTGAACTAAGCCAGTCTTTCCTATGTCAGCTTCGTTTGACGAGAAAACATTGGCGTACTTGAGTAACAACTTCTTCGCCTTGACCATTTCATTCGGGGAGAGAACGCTGCGACAGTCTTCTAAAAGTGTGGTCACTCTAGTTTGTCCATCCTTGCTGGGGGTCCCGGTCGATAGATATTCGCACCGACGTAACCAATCCACTTCCTCACTAGTACCAACCAATGTGCCTTTTTCTATAATCTGTTCCTGATCACAAAGGTTCAACACACGTACTCCTGAGATGTCGGTGGTTCTGACCAAGGTTCGAGCCACTTTCCATGGAAGGTCATTGTCTACCCTTTCCACGAGTACACAACGATGAGCTTGCCCAGGACTCCGAGGAAGACTAACCGGCACAATCGTTTCCGATCTCGGCCTTAGAACAATCTTCTTAAGGCTGTACACATTCCCTGGTAACGCCCCTTCCACGAAAAGTTCCTCTTGTCCACATTTCAAAACACCTTGCTTAACGTCGATCTCACAACAATTCTTCCTCATAAAGTCTAGGCCCAGGATGCAGTCGTCCATTATATCAGCCACGATGACATTATGCAGGTAGATCAAGTTGCCTAGCTTCAACTCCATCTCCTTCTCTCCACGAACGGGTATGCGCTGACCTGTGGCTGTCACCAAATTAATGCGTTCGCGGTTGTATGCGGAGTCCTCAAGCAACTGATTTATAAGTTGGGAACTGACAACCGTGCGAGAGGCTCCAGTGTCTATGGTCAGTTTACACGGCTTTCCGTTGACCTCGCCCTTGATGATCAGGCTGTTTCCATCACGGGTTTGTGAGATCGAAATCCTTGGGGCTCTTTTAACATCAGCCAGCACCCGCCAGTTTCCCTGCTGCTGCTGGGCGGTGCTGTCAGCCACACTACCCTCTCGATATCGATCACCTTCCCTTTCTACAGTTCGTTTACGGCAGCTGGATCGAAGATGGCCCCTTTCCCCACAGCCGTAGCACCTAGGACTGTAGCCCTTATTGCGGTCCTGGGCTGTAGCTGCTGCAACCTCCCTGACGCGGTGGGAACGATGATCCTGCCGCACGGCTTCCACCTCCAGTGCTTGGGCCAGGGCGTCCTTAAGCGTCTCGTGGTGCCCGAGCCTCACAGCAGCTCTGACTTCAAGGTCGCGGATGTCGTCGATGAATGTCTGCACCAGGTTTCCTACAATGAGCGCAGGTACAGACTGGTACGCTTTTCGAACCAGCTTCTCCACCTCAAGGGCCCACTGCTGCAGGTTTTCGTTACTGCGTTGCACGCGATCTTTGAGCTGCGCACGAAAGACGTGTTCCAGGTGAGCATCGCCATATCTCGCCTCCAATGCCTCAAGGAGCTGCTCGTAAGTCACTTCCTTACCGAGAGCTTCCAGAACAGTTAATGCCTGGTCGCGTAGGCCTAGGGTGAGAGCAGTCATGGCCTGACTTTTATTCCAGCCGTTCGCTTTCATGACAGCCTCGAACTGGATTTTGTAGGCCGACCAGGAAGAACTCCCGTCGAACGGCGGCACTTTGAATCCACGTAGCGAAGGTGTTGTAGCTACTACGGGAGCTGTAATTCCATCCCCAAGTTTGAGGTAGTCCAGCGTTTTCTTCACATCAGCCATCACGTTGTCAACCCGATTGTTCACTTGGTCGATTCGGGTTTCAGCTTCCGACAGGCGGTTGTCATGTTGAGCAACCCTATCCTTCACCTCCTTTATCTCTTTCCCGAAGGTAGCGTGAAGGTCCTTCCTGAGGAGCATCTGTTCTTCCATACCGCGCTGCAGCTGCTTTTCCAACCGACGGGTCTGTTCCTCCTGTCGGCGGGCCTGTTCCTCCTGTCAGCGGGCCTGTTCCTCCTGTCGGCGGGCCTGTTCCTAATGTCGGCGAGCCTGATCCTGCAGCATCATCATCAGAGCACCTAAGTCAGGTGCTACAGATGCAGGAGCTGCTGAGGGGCCGGCCTCCGTGGTTAGCAGCTGGCCCTCCGATGTTTGCGGCGTTGCATTACCAAATCGTCTCTGGTCCGTCTCCTGTTGGCGTTGACTTCGGGTACGGATACCCTCCGTGTCGTCTTTAGGTAAAATCGGCATATTTGATCCCATTTCTGACACCAATTGTTACGAGCTTGAGGTTCGAGACAATTAAAAACTGCCGATTGAATTACCAAAATTGACACTTTAATTATACAACACTAATTACAATCTAAAACCACACTAATAATAAAACACAATCACTTTACTTCGCTATTATTTCGCTTCGAAGTATTCTCTTGTATCGCCAATTCAATACTGCCCCGGTCGTGGTCTATACCGGCCTTATATAGGGCCTCAGATAGTTTCCAGAACCTTCTACTGTAGCGACATCTAGAATGTTCGAGTACATATCGGTCCCGAAATTTCTGGAAGGATCTCGACTCTCCTAGTTCTGCTACTCGACACTAGAGGGTGCTAGTGTAACTAATGTTGCCATGTACAAGACATTAATAGAGGCGCGCTACACTTTCTTTTACTCGACACTAGAGGGCGCTAGTGTAGCTAGGGTTGCCATGTACAAGACATTAATATTGGCGCGCAACACTATCATACGATCTTGCCACTCTACTTTTCCTTCTGTATTAAAATAGTTTTTGTAGTTTTCTCTATTTGTTTAGCTTCAGATGTTATTTGAACATGTTGATGTCCATTGCGAATATTTCTAAAAATTATCGGTTTACTTTTCTCGCAACTCTTGCATCAGAGGTAAATGATCAAATCCTTCTCTGTATTTCTTTACCTACACCGATCTTTTTTTTTTCTTATTTTAATCCCGCTCAGACCAGCGGACGGAAATGCTTGTGTAATATTCTTTCTAACCATTTTGTCCATTTCAGTAGAACACTAATTTTAGAACGCGCGATTTAACAAAACTGCGTGATTTTACAGTTTACACATTTACAGGACGTTCTTTTTCCTCCGAATCACACTATTATTTAGTTATTTTTCGTGTAAAGGCGGCTAATATGGAATGCCTAAGCAACCCCTATTCATTGAGGATGTAGGGATGTAGGGCCAGTGAACTATAGATATAGCAGCGATTACAATAGATCATTTAGGTCGCAGTGATACTGGTCTCTCTAGAACTGCATAGCTGCTCGTACATAAAAAATGGCTCTACCACGTAAGAAAACGTACTCTATGGCAAATACGAAATAAAGTTACATACTTAACTGAAATAAACTTCAAATCACATTGATATATCGCATAAACAATGACAGCGTTTTCTTAGTCATATTGAACAAAATCAGTATTAGATTGTCGAAAACAACGTTCGCGAACAATAAAATAAAGAACTAGTCTTCACGCCCACTCGCAGTAGACTGAAGAAGTTACGGCGAATTGACCTTAACTTAGTATGCAGTGTATTAAGACCGCAGAGCATGTCTAGTAGTATACATAAAAAGCTTTGCCTCCAGTATAGTTGTATATTGACAAGTTATTACTTTATTTTGAAATAAAATAATTTTACGTGGTAGAGCCATGCTGCAGCTATATTAGTAGTATAGTTGTAGCACGAATGGGTCGGCTCGACCGGGGAAGGACCACACTCTCACAGAAAACCAGCGTAAAATAGCAGCTTAACACTGCTGTGTTTCGTATGGTGAGTGTAGAGAACCGGAGACACTTATTACTGGCAAAGAGGCATTCCATTTTAGTCCTCACGGGTGGCAACGCATCTGCATCTTGAGTCTTTATTGATGATAGATGTAGATGTCTATGGGTCACAGTAACCACTTACCATCAGGTGGACTGTGTGCTCGTTTGTCATCCTATGCTATAAAAAAAAACGGCATTTACACCATTTTGGAAACATATACACTGTCCGATTTCTTCTTCTTTATCATCAGCTCGTAAAAGTCCATTGCTGGATATGATATGACAACAAGGGATTTAGGGAGTATTTGCCTTAATCATCACGCTTGGCAGTTGAATTTACAATCTGAGTCTTTCACACCTTTGTCGCTACTCCCAATCGCCGTTACTGGCATTTTACGCCGGGCATAAATGAGATGGTTATACCGCCATCTATCGGAAACCATAAGATTTTCTGAGTGTCAACGTAATAAGTATAAATTTACACGAAAAACTTACATTCCAAATAATTCCATTGATATATTACATTCGGTTAAATGTGTTGCCAGTTCCAGATCTAAAGGCACTAAATATTCCTCCTTTACCCTCTCCAAGTATCGAACAACTTCATTTTGGTTCTGTAATAAAAAAAATCTGATCACTTTACCAAGATTATGTGGTCAGATTGATTACATTGAAATATTAATCTATACATATAATTAAAATTGTTTGCCTGTAGTATTGAAATAACTAGCTTCAATAATCTTTTTTTTTAATTAAATAATATTTTTTTCAAGTGATAACTTCTTAGCATCGCTGTGATTTGAAACTGGATGAAACAAAAATGCGACACTATAAAGAGACAAACGTATACATCTAATAGGATTTAGCCTGCGTGAAAATGAGATAGAATACAGTGTAGTAAGCGACAGTAGTCTAATAAAAAAGCCCTAATAACGGGGTGCGAACCGCGAACTCAAAAGGTTGTGGGTTCGAATCCGCCATTCGATTATTTTTAAGTTAACCAATAGTGGTTAAAGGATATTTTAATAATGTTAATAGCATTGCTAGTCTATTTAAAAAAAATTTCGGTCTCCTCTTTGTGCGGTGCTTTAAAAATGGTCAACATACATTTTAACTGTTAAAATAATCAGTTAAAAACGTTTAAATATTTATTAAATTAATAAAATTAACCTTAAGGAATAAAATTATCATAATATCCAAATCATTCATAACAATCCACGATTTCACAGCTTACCGATTTATGTTAAATTATTCGTGTTGACATAACCAATATCTTATGCACCACCTTGAGAGTCAATCAATTTTTGTTCAATAAAATGACTTTACCTATAGAATGAAGTAGATGGCGCTATTACAAAGCAATTTTACTCGAAATAAAATATTATCTTGATTTATTACACTAAAATTAAGTCTTAAAATAATAATTGTAACATTTATATGCTATAAAATTAAACTTTTATCTTATGTACGCCGCACTTTTGGAGAAAAATTATCATACTAAATAAATAATTTGCCGTAAAATATATAATAGCCTGTCTGTCCGGGCAAATTTTTGCAATAGCTGATTTTGATCTAGTTTGCTTCAGAACAGATAGAGAGAAATACCAGAAAGGACCTTAGCTATATATTTTAATCCTGAAATCTTGAAAATTTAAAAAAAAAATTGATAAAATAAATAAACTTTGACTATTTGAAATTATTAGTAGCATAAAGGTTTAATGACATCATTTCGTTCCTACCACGAAATATTATGTGTACAAAAACTTACACTAGATGGCGATGGCTGTTTAAAGTAAGTTTATTACTTTACTTTACTTATCTTCACGCACAATCCCTGACGGGGTAGCCAGAGAGAACAGATCGCCAAGTGTCACGATCCTTACAAACCTCTTTCGCTTCTTTCAGATTCATTATCTTCTTCATGTATGCACGTCTAAGTATCCGAGTACTTTTGACCCTACCCTCTTCGAGCAATTTGCTCACATGGTCTTCGAAAGTTAGTCTCGGTCTACCTCGACACCTTTTAATATTAACTTTCGCGCTATATATTTTTTTCACCATTCGGTCTTCACTCATTCGCTCAACGTGCCCAAACCACCGAAGCACGCTCTTATCAATTTTTGTGATAAGGTCATCTTTCAAACCTGCCATATTGTGAATCTCTTCGTTTCGCTTTCGGTCGGCCATGGTAACGCCGCACATTTTACGAAGAGATCGCATCTCCACTGCATTCAACTTACTTTTATGCTTCTTCTGGCATACCCAGGTTTCGCTGTCATATAACAAAGTTGGTACCAACACTGCGTTATGTATTGCAATGCGTGCACTCTTCGCTACGCCTTGCCTTTTGACTAACGCAGTCAGGGCACCATTGACTTTGTTCCCGGCAGCGACACGCCTGTCCACATCTAAATCACATCTTCCATCCCGGCTAAAAGCACTCCCCAAGTATACAATTTCATTTACCTGTTCTAGACATTCCTGATTTACCCATATTTCACACTTCGTTCTCTCTTCGTCCCTTTCAAATACCAGAACCTTAGTTTTATTAGCATTCAAACGGAGACCTTTAATTTCACATTCCTCTTTCATACACGTGACTAATGCCTGCAGTTCTGCCTCTGATGGTGCAATAAGCACTGCATCATCAGCATACAGCAGACAATTTACTTTAATGTCACCCAATTTCACACCCAAACAACTATAAACTTTATTACGATTTAGCATATTGACTTTTTGCCTATTACATTCTAAGCAGTAAGCACAGAACACTATTACTCCAGCTGGAATCTTCCCCAACGATATACTAAATTTTATCATGTCAAGATTTGGTGAAAATGAAATGCCGGTAATGGCGACGGTGCCGTGTAGGGGCGGTTAAGAATATTCACTACCCCATATCTTCCCGTGGGTGCCGTAAAAGGCAACAAAGGGAAACAGGCAGGAGATGGGTAGCAGCTTCTTCCTGATAACAGCAAAACTACAATAAAAAAAACTGCGGTTGCCAACCCGCTCGCCAAGCGTGGCAACTATGGCAAATTCATTTTTTTCGCTCCGTATCGTTCGGTCGCATTTACTATTTGCTCCGATTGGTGCAACCGGTGCAATTTTAGCCAGTGCTTCTCAAACTGTTTATTATCTAAGCTTATAAGTTGTTAATACCTGTCACAATGGACACTCACAATTGTGGTGCATGTGGGGAGTTGTTATCAGAAGGTCCTCACTGTACTGTATGCAATCAAGAACTACATTTTCACTGTGCTGGAATAACTGAAGCTGGATATCACAAGCTGGGAGATAGGAAGTCTACCTGGCGATGTGTCAAGTGTAAACAAACTCACTCTATCCAGCCTCCTTTATCACCAAAGGTCGAATCCGATGCACTAATACTTAAGGAGATAAGAGCTCTCTCTGATAAACTGGCGCCATTAGAATGTCTTAAAGATGAAGTCATTGCCTTGAGAACTGAATTTGCTGATCTTAAATCTTCACTAAAAAATACTAACGTGGCGCTAAAAGAATTTAATAACAAAATTAAGGACTTCGAACAGCGTCTAGTACAGATCGAGAAATAGCAAAAACATGCTAACCTAATTCAGACTCGGTTAGAAAAACTGGAGCAGGAGTCGAACTCTGCGGAGCAATGGTCAAGAATGAATAATGTTGAAATAAAGGGAGTACCTCAGGCAAGCGGTGAAAATTTGTTTGAAATCATATCAAAAATTGGGTCTAAGATACAATATCCGATTACAAAGACTCAGGTAAATTTCGTTACAAGAGTACCAACCCGTGAGAAAGAGCATAACAAACCGATAATAATCTGTTTCTGCAATCGATATGTGAAGGAAGATTTTGTGGCGGCAGCCAGATATGCATCGAAAACTAGTCATCTCACATCAGGCAGCATGGGATTTGTGGGCAATAATAGGATTTATATCAATGACCACCTAACCATGCACAATAAGACCTTACTTTCTAAAACTAAAAAGGCAGCGGTTGAAATGAATTTTCGTTATGTCTGGGTCAAGCATGCCAAGATACATGTAAGAAAGACCGATACGTCGCATATAATTATGGTGAAGTCAGAAAGAGACCTTACAAAAATAGTGTGATGTTAAACTTATTATCTCTTTGTTCTATTACTACCATTATTCATAATTTGTTTTTGTATTACTCGAAACTTGTAACATTGCAGTTTGAGATCCATGCGCTGTCGCGGCGTGTTAACGTATTCATTTTGTTGTGCAATTGCGTATTAATTTACATTATAATTTATAAACATCTTACCAATGTGGATAAACTATTTTTAAATCTTATTACATATAACTGGGTTCGCTTTTGGTCTATTAATTTACTATCAAATATGAAAGACGTTTGTTTGTTGATTTTCTGTACTATATATACTATTGATTTTACTTATTGGTCATTGGTTGTGGTCGTAAGCATTCGAGAATCGCGTGTTGCATATTACGGCGCATTGTTCTACGTTTATGAATTATCTACCCGCTTTTATATAGCATTTTTGTTCTTTGTTTTAAATGTTCCTTTTATTTTACTATTTCATTTACTTTTATTGAATTGCTGTATTGTGATAAGATATTTAGTCATAGTTAAGCTCAATCACGGAATCGATTAAAATATATTACCAAAATCTACGCGGTTTACGAACAAAAACACTTAACTTATTTAGGAACGTATGTTTAAATTCGTATGATATTATTATATTCACCGAAACTTGGTTGGTCGATAGTATACATAACAGTGAATTATTTGATGACCGATATTTAGTATGGAGGCGGGATCGCAATTATTGTAGCACGTCACAAACGCGGGGGGGGTGGTGTACTAATTGCAGTGAGGAATGATCTTTCGGTAGTGGAGAGGGGTGACTGGCGTAGTTCAGCGGAAGATATTTGGGTCTCTATTTTGCTAAAAAGATCCAGGCCGCCAGTGACATACAATATAAACATTTGTGCGCTTTACCTGTGTAGAGAAAATATCGGTAACTCATATAATACCCAATTGCTAAATTTCACACAAAATATTAATACCATAATTCTGTCTAATCCGTGCGACAAATTCATAATCGTAGGTGATTTCAATTTTGGTAGTCAAGTAGATTGGAATGTTTGCAGCGATAGTAGCGAGTTGTTACCAACCAATCACTCCTGTCAATATATTTCTGATTTCCTTGATTCTGTTAACACCTGTAGCTTATCTCAGTATAATTGTATACGTAACATAAATGGGAGACTACTTGACTTGGTTTTCTCTAATGACCTTGTAGATGTTAAGGAATGTTATGAACCATTAGCAATGCCCCCTGATATGCACCATAAGCCTTTGGTTATAAAGGCTGATTTTGTTGAATTACATAAACTAGATGATAAAAAGAAAAACAATTATCTCTTTCACAAAGGTGATTACGTGGCTATTAGTTCAGGTAAACTGGTATGAACTTTTGGGGAATGACTCTCTAGACAATGTGGTTACCCTCTTTTATAATAAATTGTATGAACTTAGGGAACAGTTTATTCCCATAAAATCCACTAGACGCTCGTCACACCCTCCATGGTATAATTCTGCGCTACTAAAGGTCTTAAAAGAAAAACAC